CTATAGGAAATGTAAAAAAAAAAAAAAAAAACAGAAAAAGTGATCACTTCAAACTGTAGAGAAGCAAGACCAGAGGGAACAGGGCCAAAGCTCAGAAAGATTCAGGCCCAGTCTCTGCCATCTTCCCAACTCAGGCAGAGTGCAGTCCCAGATATCAAACACCAGGCAGCTCAGAAATAAGAGTATGGAGAGACAGAGGAAGGCAAGATGTAACCAGTGTGGGGGGTGGGGGGTAACAAGAGGATGCAGAGTCTGGGGAGCAAAGGCACAATGGCAAGAAAGCAAAGTGCATTCCAAAGACAGTGTATTAACTGGGTACATGTGTACTTGGTAGTATTGGTTGTTTACTTATTTGACAGTTTTCTTTGAGGTAGCATTACGCAGTGCTGTTCAACTCCAAGCACTATTCTAAGCACTTTATAAATATGAACTCATTCTTCCTAGTAGCCCTGAAAAGCTATTGTGTATTACGTGAGAAATAGTACTCGTTTCCAAGGAAAAATCACCTAGAATGAGATTATGGGGCATCCTGGGTTCTGAGATAAAGTGAATCTTTAGTAGAAATGAAGAATCATGCACAGCTTCAGTGGAAGAAAAACCCCAGCCCCTTAGCAGTTGCTGGCACGAGCCTCCTCTCTCTGCCCAGCTCTCCCCCCACACTTCTCATTCATGCCCCTTGCAGTTGGCTGCTCCAACACTGGGCTTCCAGGTGGGGCACACTTCCTCCTAGTATACCTGTTCCCCAACCTGAGCCTCTGCCCGTAGCACCTACAGTGGACCTCCTCTGGAGCTTGCAGGTCTTTGCTGGATGTCCATTTCCATCTGTCTTTTGGACTGCTTATCGCCTTGTTCCAGGGACAACCATAGAACCCTGGCTTTTCGGTCCCAACAGCTTAATGAGGAAAAATTTTCTTCCATCAGGTCATCTTCCTGGTTTTCGTTAGGATCTCAGTAACTGGGCTGGGACAGAGAATACTAGCCAGGGTGTTACCTTGGAAATTGCTGCTAAAGGATAAGAATGCAGTGAAATGGAGTTCCAGAGTGAGGTGCTATATCAGACATCAAGAAACATTTTCTGCAAGAGGCCAGATAGTAAACATTTTGGACTTTGCCAACCACAAGCCAGGCTAGTCTTAACTATTGTTAAGTACCAGATGCCTCAGTCATTGTTCCACAGCTCTGGAGCTGAATTGCAAAACCAGACATAGGCGATACTAAAGTGTGTGGGTATGGCTACATTCCAGTAAACAGGCTATGGGCTGAAGTTTGCCAACTCCTATCACCTGGAACTACACCAGAATGTAGATTTTCAAAGAAAATGTCTACAACCAGTTTTTTTTCCTTCCTAAACTCTGTCACCCTTGGAGTTGGTACATGTAGGGGTTTCTTTTGCAAGAATGATTTTTGCTACGCATCCGCCTCCTTTAAGGAGGTGAAGTGAGAGGCATTCCTAGTAACTCCAAGCCAGAGTAGAGGTTCTAGGGAGACCACTCAGATTGCCTGCATAGGGCTGGAGTCCTATACTCTGGTTGGCAGAGAGCGTTGTGCACACTTTTTTTTTTTTTTTTGGAGAGGTTTTCACTATAGGGTGTGTGCACTTGTCAGAAAGACAGAGACAGAGAGACAGAAAGCAAGAAATCACCCCCCGGGGGGAATGGCCACACCACAATCCGCTCTCCTCTCTGGATATTGGCACACACGCACATGCGCCCGGCGTGAGTTTAAACCACCAGGTCTGGGACTCGAACCACAGTCAACTACATGGGAGTCCAGCGACATAGTCATTACGCTAACTACTGGTCCCATGCACACTTTTTACAGGTGTATGTTCCACCCCTGCCCAGGGCTGCTTGAAGTAATGTTATCTGGGGTCTTGATGGGGTCCCTGTTCCAGAGGCTTGTCAGAGGGAAAGCCCAGCTCGACATTTTATTGGGGTGGACTCTGTAGCAGCAGAGGCAGGAGCACAGCCTGAGGTGGGGGGCCATATCCCTGCCAGAGTACAGCGTGTGCTAGTCTGAAGGGGCCACCGTCTCCTCCTCCTTCTCTTCTCCCTCCTTCTCCTCTTCTTGCTGCTCCAAGACTGGAGTCCTCAGGTCGAACTGCTGGGGGTAGGTAAGTGATGAGAACTTTCAGCCTGATGAGACATCTGCCTTTAGATGGAGATGGAAGTACTGACTTGAGTCAGACTTGACCAGATGGTTTGTTTTTCTTTGATTTGTCCGAGGGCATGTATACTTGCCTGAGAGAGGATGAGAGAGAGAGGGAATAGCGCCCCCTATGCTACAGTCTCTTTTTCACTTCTCTCCGCTGTCAGTATTTGGGGCACACATATGCCTGGCATGGTTTTCTAATGGTCAGGTCCAGGGCTTGAACTATGTGGTTGGCCATGTGGGATCCAGCCACATTACCACCAGGCCATGAGCTGGTCCATTGGCTAGATGATTTTAAATCAAGACTTTTAATCTTAATTAAGCATAAGACTTTATACTATGTATAACTGAAGAGTGTTAATGGATCTTTTTTAACAGGCAGAATCATGGTTCATGAAGTGAACATCTCTCACACATTCATGTAACTCATGAATTAGTGGGAGAAAGCACAATTGGGTAAACTGGTTTAAAGGAGAATCCCAAGAACAAGCACACATATAGGCAGTCAGGGAATGCAGACATGAATATACTGATAGACTTGGCGGGAACTATGTCTGCACCTGCCTCCTGGACCCGAGATAAGAGATAGTGGTCCTGCAGTCCTTCGTATCTCAGAACTGTGAGCTCCAGGACAGGATCGGTACAGGCCCTTAAGAGTCTTTACTGAGAAAGACTTAATGCCTTTTTCAGACATAATGAAGGTCCTGAGCCCTACTACATTTACTCTCTGGCAGAAACCTCCCTCCTCCTGGCACCCCCTACACACACACACACACACACACACACATTTAGTAAGTTATAAAATGGACACAGAGAGATACATTTTGATTGCATCCCATTAACAGATCTCTCAGTTTACTAGTTATGCATGGTAAGTGAATATTGAGATGAAGTGGTGTTTTAGGGGTTGGGAACCCAGGGAAGGAGAAATTTCAGAGTGTTTCTTTGTCATCTCTATGGGAAAATCTGGGAGGGCACCCATAGGAAGAGAATTTTGAAAAGTCTGCTGCTCCTCTTAGCTGTGAAAACTGAGTTGAGGAGCCGTGTGAGTGTCTTTTTTCCCTTCAGCTCTTAGCTTGCCATGGAAGGCCTCCACTATCTAAGGTACACTCCCTAGAATGGCAGCCTGACATTTCGGGTACTTCCCTGGCACTTTTTGGACCTCTGATGTTATTCTCAGAGCCGTTCAGGCATGGATCTGGTTCTGTTTTTTTGCCATGTTGACCTGACAGCCTGTAGTCATAGTGAAAATGTATTCTTGGCCCAAATTAGGTGACCACTGAGATCAGAGTACAGTGGATGCAGCAACCAGTGTCCCATTGCTGAGCTGGTGACTCCCAACATGCTCTAGAGATAGTTCATCACATGGTCCAGTCTTGGCCCAGCTTATGCCAAGAAGTCCAGACTAGAAACCAACAGGTGGTGAAGTGCGAACAGTACCTGCAGCAGCCCCTTCTTAGCCTCTCCCTGGGCACCTGCATCAGGGCCTCTCCAGGAGCTAACCTCTCGCCCCAAGGCCACTCCATCACTCTCTCCTCTGTGTGGTCCATCATCCTGCCCTCTTTAAATTCTTTTTGCTTTAAATTCTTGTTACTAAATTCTTCCCCAAACAGGGAACTCGAAAACTGATCCAAAAAATAAAAAGTCTTTCTTATTAGAATCTACATGAGAAGATACAATTTGCCTCATCCTAATCATGCAGAGTATAACTTTGTCCCATGTGGTATAATTACTTTCCATTAAAGTTTCTAATAATGTATCAATCAGTTGGTTCGAGTTCACATGAATTTCACGTATCTGACAGGGGCATATAGACCAGCTAGAGGGAATCATGAAGTTGCAGGAAGAGCAGGTATGAAGCCTACCATAAAGATCAACAGGAAGGGAGCAGATAGACCTGTACCACAGAACCTACTTGCTGGTCCATATCGAATGCCTGAGGCCTGCTGTAGGTGCCAGGAAGAGCCAGTGAGTTACAGGCACCCAGACATCCCAACTCAGTGGGCAGCCACAGAGGGGGAGCCCCTAGAAGAAGGGGGTAGATGGGCTCGGGCATCTGACACATGAAAGTGCTGATCATTCTTCCCAGACAACTCACTCTAAGTAGAGCAGCAGTTAGGACCTTGTTCATAGGGGAGGTGCTGTTGTGGATTCTTGGAATGAGCTACATTAAAGGAGCTATAGCTGGCAGGAAGGATCCAGAAACAGTGGGATAAGAGCTCTCCTGACAGGTAAGAGGAAGCATCGGAACCTACCCTGGGCTGGCAGAGGGTGTGGGTACAGGGAGAAAAGCTCCTTACTTCACAAATTTCTGATGGGGATATGAGTGAGATCATCGGCCTCAAGTGGATGGGAGAGGAGCAGAAGTTGGGAGTTTGAGGTCACATGGAGAAGGTGCTAAGGGGGAAAACTCAGTGACAAAACTGGCCTGCCTAGCACAGAGGCCACTTATATCTCATGAGCTGCGCATGTCAGGGCTCACGGAGAGGAGCTCATCTCCCCACAATTAAGAGTATACCAACGAGCTAGAGCTGAGGAGAGGCAGGCAGAGTCAGGGTGTTGCACAAGGTGCCCCTGGGGTGGGGGCTGCCTCTGAGCTTGTCGAGAGAGAACACAAGCTCCACAGTGGACCAGAAGTGCCTATGGATCAACAGGCGTCCAGGTAGGGATGCCAAGAAGGCAGAAGCTGAGTTCTCAGCAGGGGCACAGTTGATGACAGCAGAGCCTAAGGCCTGATGGGGTGAGGTGAGGGACCCGGGAATTGGATAAGACCAAGAAGGGACAGTGGCTAGAAGAACATATGCAAGTACTCCAGGAGAAGCTTGGCATAGAATGGCCCCCATCACCACTTTTATAACCTGGGATAGCCGCATTGAGCTCTCAGCTTCCTGTATGTGAGTTGGGCAGAGCAGGGCCTGGCACACATATTTCTGTGCAGTGTTGGCTTTGCCTCTATCCACCAGCATATGGGTTTCAAGGTGACAAAGTCATGCAGCCATTATGAAGATTTATTCAGGATTTCGCTTTTTTTTATTTTAATTGCCAGAGATCACAAGTGTTCCACAAAGACAGAGAGAAAGCACTCCCCAATGGGGCATGATCATGCCGTAATTTCTTCTCCTCCATATCTCCATCCTGTCAGGATTTGGGGCACGCATGAAAACATGCCTAGTGTGTTTTTAAAGCTGCTGGAGTGAGGATTCAAACCACAGTCAGCCATGTGGGATCTAGCTCCTTTAACCTCTAGGCTATAGGGCTGACCCAGGATTCTACATTTTCTAACATCGATAATAATTTTGTTTACTTTTTTCTCTTGAAATTCTTAAAAACATTTAGTGGATTCCTTCATCTATTTAATGGTTTAGGCACTGGTGGAACAGAGAATAAAACAGGTGACCCCCCCACACACACACACATACCCTGCATAACTCTCACTGGCCTTAGTGAGAGTTAGCTAACACAAAGCCAAGTCAGATAAGAACTTGTCAGAGGGTGATAAAACTAAGGGGACAGGGCTCCAGCAAACACATTCTTTTTTTTTTTTTTTTTTGGGAGGTTTTTATAAGGCACAGTCGCTCTGCATAACTCTCACTGGCCTTAGTGAGAGTTAGCTAACACAAAGCCAAGTCAGATAAGAACTTGTCAGAGGGTGATAAAACTAAGGGGACAGGGCTCCAGCAAACACATTCTTTTTTTTTTTTTTTTTTGGAGAGATTTTTATAGGGCACGTGCGCTCGCCAGACAGACAGAGACATTAGAGACAGAAAGCGAGAAATCACCCCCCAGGGGGGATGGTCACGCCACAATCCCTTCTCCTCCATTCTCCTCTCGGGATCTTGGGCACGCACACACGCGCCCGGCATGAGTTTTAAGCCACTGGGTCCGGGACGCAAACCGTGGTCGACTACGTGGGAGTCCAGCGACATAGCCATTACACTAACTGCTGGTTCCCCAGCAAACACATTCTTAATAAACACTACGATTCTGAATCTCATAAATGGCAATTTTGGAATTTTATCAGTTGTTTTCTTTTTGCATGCTTAGCCTGAGATAACAGGTGGCCCTTCGAGAATCTCTTTGATTAGCCCACCACAGGATGGACGCATGGGTAAGTAAGAATTCCTATAATTTTAAGTCACACTGATACATGTATTAAAATATAGTCCCTAAAAAGCCATGTTTAATCAAAGCTGTCAGAACTTACCCAAGTCAGTATTGTGAAGTTGCATGGGAGGCTCCACATTACCAAAATGATGCAGCCAGCTATTAAATCCTTTCGGAGAGTAACTTGTAATGACCATTTAACCTGTCTCAGAAGAATACTGATCCCATCACTTTCTGTCGCCTCTTTATTTCACATAAAAATTATGTTAGTGTGTTTGCTTACTGGCACAGTAATTGACTTTGGGTTGCTGGCCCATGTCCAAAGTAAGTGAATCCCTCTTCCTCCATTGCCCCACTGTTGCAAAGGGCTCTTTCTCTATTCAAGATCTGGGCAAGACCCACCTGGCCTTCGTTCCTCCTCCCCATAGGCTCCCTGCTGTTCCCAGTTCTCTTCCTGAAATACAAAGCTTTCAGCTCATCCCTCTTTAGCCAAAGGGGCCGTCATCACCGGGTGGAACTAACTCCAAGGCCTCTGGCCTCATCCAACGGTGCTCACTGTGAAAGTCCAGGGCCCCTAGCAGACCTCCCCTACTCCTCCTGCCCACAGGGTACATGCATTGAACAGGTTGACTGAACTGCATATTCAAACACACCTTTGCCCATACTTTCCCAAGGGGCCACTTCTAACTGCTGCTTTTTGCCCTACCCCATCTAATTCACTTTTTAGGGGTGTTTGTGTGATGTTTTGGGGGTTCACTGTGTTTGTGAATAGATATTTGTCCTCAGCGGATCCTCCCCTTAGCATCTATTTCTATAAGGTCACAGGGAACACATGAACTCTTGGGATGCTTTTCGTGTATACTTCTAAGTTACAAAAGGGCTTCCCTATTTATGCCCTGCTAATAGGCTGAGAGCATCCTCTGTGCGCTCTCAATGGCATCCTTCCTGTCATTGGGTTTCTTCTTTGCCAATCTGAAAGGAAAATGTCATCATTTCTATTTTCATTTCTATGACTGTGGATGATTCTGTTTTAATTTTATTTAATTCATGTAGGGTACATGCACTTGCAGGAGAGAGACAAAGACAGTGAGAGGGAAAATGAGAAATTACCCCCAGGGGAATGACCACAATGCAATTTATTCTCTTCCTGGGATTTTGGGCATGCACACATAAGCACCCAGAACAGGGTGCCAGGCCCAGGACTCTAACCATGGTCAGCCATGTGGGAGTCCAGTACCTTAATCACTACACCACCTGCTCGCCCATAAGTCATGCTCTTTTTATATTATTATTATTTTTATAAATTACTTCTTTTGCCCTGTATTGTGTGTGTGTGAAGTTCTCAATATGAAGAATATTGACCTTTTTACCAAGTTTGTTTTGTAATTTTATGTTTGACTTTTGTATAAACTTCATATTTTTATGTACTCAAATCTATTGTTATAGTCCTTTTATTTCTGAGTTTTTTTTATGCTTAGGTAGGTTTTTATGCTTAGGTATGCTTACCTAAATCACTTTCTCCTAATTGTTGTTTTGGGCCTTTTTTTTTAAGATTTTTTTTTTTTTTTCTGTTTTTAAAGACAGGGTTCTCCTGCCTCAGCCTCCCAGCTGGGACTACAGGTAGGCCGTACTGCACCCAACTCTTTTCTAGGCAGGATCTCACTATGTTGCCTGAGCCAGCCCTGAGTATTCAACCCTCCTTTAGCCTCCAGAGTTGCTGGGATTACAGGGCATGCACCACATGCCCAGCCTGTAGGTCAGACCCCCATGTGACCCTAGCCTGCAGAGTACAGTGTCTTAGCAGCACAGGCCACCTTGGCTAGGCCACAATTTTTTAGAGCAGTTTTAGGTTCACAACAAAATTGAAAGGAAAGTACAAATGGTTCCCATATACCACCTGCCTTCAGACATTATCAACGTTCACATCAAAGTAGTGTATTGTTACAGTGAACCTCCATTGACAATCATTATCATCCAAAGTCCAGAGTTTACATTAAGGTTTGCTCTTGGTGTTATACGTTTCTATGGGTTTGGACAAATGTGTGATGACACATAAATCTGTCGTGGTAGTAACATACAGAGTGTTTTCACTGCCCTAAAAATCCTGTGTTTCATACCTGTTGATCCTTTCTCTTCAACCTCTAACCCTTGCTTTTCCAGAATGTCACATGTCCTTTTATGAGTTGCTAGCTCATTTTTTAATTGCTAAATAATAGCCCTGAGTCTGTATATATCATAATTTATTTTTCAGTTCACCTACTAAAGGACATCTTGAGTGCTTCTAAGACTTGGCATTTATGTATAAAGCGGCTTTAGATGTCCACACACAGGTTTTTGTTGTGTACATGAGCTTTCAGTTCCTTTAAGTAAATAACAAGGAGCATGATTGCAGGATTGTATATTAAGAGTATGTTTGGTTTTGAAAGAAATTACCAAACTGTCTTTTAACGTGGCTGGGCCCAGGTGGTAGCATAGCCGTAAATAGTCTGCAAGGCAATCCCATGTGGAAAGGTTCTTGGTTCAAGTCCAGACACCTTCCTGAGTAATGCCAGTCACAAGTGAACCCATCATCCAGAGCTGGCTCAAGGCTGAGGATGCATTGTGGTACCTTTAGGGAGTCTCTCTCTCTCTCTCTCTCTCTCTGTCTCTTGCCTTTGAAGGAAATACATAAACTTAAAAAAAAATGTGGCTATAGCATTTTGCATTCCCATCAGCAATGAATGTGAGTCTCGTTGCCGCCCATGCTCACAGTCTTTGGGGTTGTCAGTGCTGGATTTTGGCTTTTCTAATAGATGTGAGGTTGTATATCATTGTTTTCATTTGCATTTCCTTAGTAACATGCAAAGTGGATTGTCTTCTCATATGCTCATGTGCCATCTGTACATTTTCCTTGGTGAAGTATCTATTAAAGTCTTCGGCCAATTTTCTAACCCAGTTGTTTATTTTCTTACTGTTCAATATTAAGAGTTTTGTGTATATTTAAGATAAAAGTCTTCATAGATGTGCCTTTTGTAAATATTTCCTAGCAGTCTGGCTTCTCTTTTCATTCTCTTGATGTTGTCTTTTGCAGAACATAATTACAGTTTTTAAGTGTATCTTTTCCCAAATTCTTTGGAGTTTATCTTGAGATATACTGTAAGATGAGTGTCCAACTTTCTAAATATATATGCTTTTATTCATAATAGAGTACATATACACACACTTAGTGCTTATGCCCTATAACATAAGCCATAGATAAGAGATAAAAAGCATTCCACAGGGCTCACTCATACCTTAGTCCCCTTATTCTAATCCTCCGACCTTCATGCACATGTCTGGTATGTTTTCAGCCAACGAGGCCAGGGACTCACACTGTGGTCAGCATCTGGCTTCCACCTCCACAGTTCTATGTGCTACTGGCTATGCCATAGAAGCTCGACCCAACTTGGTTTTTTAAATCATTTATTGAAAATACTTTGGAGCCAACAGGTGGCATGGCGGTTAGGTGCTAGACTCCCACGTGACTGACTGCCATTTGAGTCCCAGCCCCGGTAACTTGCTTTCTCACTTTCCCTCTCTTTGTCTCTCTGTAATGAGTGCATGTGCCCTATAGCAAATTTTAAAATAATAATAATAATGGGACCAGCAAGTAGAGTAGTGGTTAAGTCGCTAGGTTCACATGGCTGACCAAAGTTTGAGACCTGGACCTGGCAGCTTGCTTTCTCACTTTCCCTTTCTCTCTTTCTCTCTCTGGTCAAATAATGATAATAATAAAATAATAGTGAACATCTGCCAATGGTTCTGCTTTTTAAAAAAATAATAATAAATAAAATAATTCTAAAATAATAAAATCAAGAACATTAACTGACAAAAAAATAGAAAGTTCTTCGCAGAAAAATTTTAAGAACATTATTAAAAAAAATTTTCCTCAGGACCAGCAGTTAGCATAATGGCTATGTTGCTGGACTCCCACGTAGTCAACTGTGGTTTGTGTCTTGGACCTGGTGGCTTAAAACTCATGCCAGGCAAATGTGCGTGCATGCCCAAAATCCTGAGAGGAGAATGGAGGAGAAGGGGTTGTGGCATGGCCATCCCCCATGGGGGGGTGATTTCTCACTTTCTGTCTCTCTGTCTCTCTGTCTGTCTGGCAAGCGCACGTGCCCTATAGCCAAAACCTCTACAAAAAATAAATAAATAAAAAATAAAATCTTCCTCAACCAGATTTATCATCTGTTAACATTTTGGCGAATTTTTTCCCTATTCATTATCTTTGGTGTTTCTCTGAACCATTGAGAATATGTTAGAGACATGATACCCTAACACCCTGAAAAAAAAAAAAAAAAACATTCTTTTACAAAACTAACCATACACGGCTCAGGCCAGGCACAAACATTGAAACACTTCTGCCATCCTGTCAACTGACACAACAGAGGCCCTTTTTCCCTCTCCATTTTCAGAATCCCATATAAAGATTAGCTACATGTAGTTGTAACATCTCTTCACTCCTCATAACTGGAACATTTCCTCAAACTTTCTATTTCTTGCCTGAAGCCTTTATTTTTAAAGAATATAGATTTTGGGCCAGCAGGTGACGTGGGGGTTAAGGCACTGGATTCCCACGTGGCCAACCATCGTTTAAGTCCCAGACCCAACACCTTGAAACTCACACAAGGTGTGTGTGCTTGCATGCCCAAGATGCCGAGAAGAGAATGGAAGAGAAGGGATTGCAGTGTGGCTATCCTCTCTGAGGGATGATTTCTCACTTTCTCTCTGTCTCTCTGGTTAGTGCTTATGCCCTATAGCAAAAATCTCTCTTAAAAAAAAAAGAATATAGATTTTAAATTATGAAGAGTGACATATGACCAGCATTGTCTGGTGTTTCCTCATGAGACGAGACCACACTCTCTTGGTAGGAATACCCCAGAAATGTTACTGTTCTTCTCTCTGCACCAAATGAAGGCACATGAAGTTCACCTATTATATCATAGGGACATTAACCTTGGCCACTAGTTTCCTCCATGAGAA